GGGCAGGAGCTGTGTAATCTGAGCCCATTGCCACAATCCCTGTCAGCTGTGCCTCTCCAAGCCTGGGTCACTCCTTGGGATCGAAGTGGCCCCGCGGGGGGCTCCAGGCTACTGCCACCTGCTCCCACCCAGGGTTGTGCTCCCTGCTTCGGGGCCACAGCAGTACTATGGGTGTTCACGGCAGCTGGGAGCTTGTTTGCCCGGACTAGGATCTCAGCCACCCTCTGCTCCTAGGTCGCACCAGCCGTTGTGCTTGGTGGGTAGGAGCTCCCCTCTGGGACTGAGCCAGCCACTCCCTGGGACTGGGTGGGATTGTGGATTCTCCCACCAGATGACAGAGTGATCACACGGGGGCTCAGGGCTACTGCCGCCAGCTCCCACAGGTCCCACAAAGACACGCTTCCCCCTTCGGGGCTGCAGCGGTATATGGGTACTCACGGCAGCCGGGAGCTTATTTGCCTGGACTGGGATCTCAGCCACCCTCCGCCCCTAGGTCGCACCAGCCATTGTGCTTGGTGGGCAGGTCCTCCCCTCTGGGACTGAGCCAAAGCTACTCCCTGGGACCACGGTGAGGTTGTGGTTTCTCCCACTAGATGAAAGAGTGATCACACGGGGGCTCAGGGCCGCTGCCGCCCACTCTCACAGTCCCACCGAGACACGCTTCTCCCCTTTGGGGCCACAGCAGTACTATGGGTGTTCACGGCAGCCGGGAGCTTCCTGAGCAGCAGCTCAGCTGCCCTCTGCTCCTAGGTAGCACCAGCCTTTGTGCTTGGTGGGTGGGACTTCCCCACTGGGTCCAAGCCTGTGCCGCTCTCTGTGGGCTGTGTGGCCCTGAGGGCTCCCCGACTAGATGGGGAAGTGATCACTTGAGGGGCTCAGGGCTGCTGTCACCTGTTTCCACAGTTGCACTGAGGGATACTCCCAACCTTGGAGCCACAGCGGTGCTATGATCGCTCCAGCCAGGAAAGTAGTTGCACACGTGTGCTGGGCTGCCTGGGGTCCAGAGGGTGCTCACCTATCTCCACCACCTCCTCAGGGTGGTGGGGGCAGGTAGTCCATCCATCTTCAGATATACAGCTGCTCGGGTCTCTCAGGCATCCTGGTGTGCTGTGTGGGTATCCTCCGCTGATCAATGAATGTCCTTTTAGTTGTAGTTCGAAGAGGGAGAGACACAGGGAACAGCTCACTCCGCCATGTTGCTGATGTCACTCTCCCTGCATCTGTCTTTTTAAACTCAACATTATGTTTGTTAGATTCAAATGTTTTGCTTGTAACAATAGTTTGTTTTCATTGTTAAATAGTATTCTATTGTATGAATATATCATATTCTACTGTTGATGGATATATGGGTAGTTTCCAGTTTATGTTGGCCAGCATGTAGTGCTGTTGAGAACATTCTTGTATATGTCTTTTGGTGAACATATGTACTGGAAACAAAAGAGTGGCATTGCTGGGTCATAGGATATGCTATTTCAACTTCAGTGGATACTGCCAAAAATTTTTCCAAAGTGGCTGTACCTATTTACACTCTCTCCAGTATTGTATGAGAGTTCTAGTTGCTCCACGTTTGTCACAACTGATACTGTCTATGTGGGTTTTTTTTTTAAGTCACTCTGTTGTATGCATGTTAAGTTTCAAAGCTGGTATTGGAGAATAGGATGAACACTCTTTTTAAAACTAACTGGTTTATATTATGTGATGTTAAGTTTTTGGAGATATAAGACAAATGATAAAATTCAGAGTCACATCCAAGCTTCAATAGTAATAAACCCGGGTAATAAATAAAGGAACTCCTTCAGTTTTCAGTATCAACCACTGAGATATCAGAGAAAACTTTCGTTTCGCCTTTCGCAATTTACCAATGTTGGGCTGTGAATTAATATCCTTTAATTTATTTTTCTGTGCATCCATAAGTTTAGGTTATTTCATTTTATTATAATTGTGATTTTTGAGACTTAAAAGTCTAAAAAAAAGGACACTGATCTTGAAATGGAGCTGGAGGATTTCAACTGGTTTAGTGGATTGATTGAAATAACCTAAAATAAGAGTCAGCAAACTTTGTGTATAAAGAGCCAGGTAGTAAATATTTTAGTCTTTGCCAGCCATCAGTTTCTGTTCCAACTACTGTACTCAACTCTGCCTTGAAAGCAGCCATAAACAATGAGTAAATAAGTGGATGGTCACCAAAAGACATATATAAGAATGTCCATAACAGCACTATGGAAAACATAAACTGGAAACTACCCAAATGTCCCTTAACAGTAGAATGTGATATATGCATACAATGGAGTACTATACAGCAATGAGAATAAACAAACTACCCTTACAACTTTGTTTACAAAAACAGGTGGCCGTAATGGACATGAGGTTTCCCTTTGGGGTGATGAAAAATTTATGGAGCTGGATAGAGATGATCGTTGCACAACGTCATGCATGTACTTAATGCCACTGAATTGTCACTTTAAAATGGTAAATTTTATGTTATGTTTTGCCAAAATAAGATAAAAAAAAAAAAAACAGCTAATGGGTCATATTTGGCAACCGCTGCTCTAAAATGTTATCCCTTTGAGAAGCCATGTAGTATAATGGTTAAAAGCACAGTTTGTTACTAGACAACCTGGGTTTGACTACTGGCTCTGACACTAACTTTATATCCTATGCAAGTTGCTTAACCTCACTCTGCCTCAGTTTCTTTATCTATAAAACAAGTATAATACTAATATCTATCTCATAGAGTTAAGTAATAAATGAGTTACATGAAAGTACATTGAATAATTCCTGGAATATGTAAGAATGCAATAAAGGTTAACTATGATCATTAGTTTTTTTAAATAACACCTTGAAGTATAGGAAGAGAACTCTAACATTGTGGCTTTGGTGTCGACCAGTTGGCTAGTTGTTTGTTGTTAGAGCCAACCTGCAGGTGCTAGTACAAACCTATCCCTCCTACTACAGCACCTTTTCCTACCCCTACATGAGGAAAAAAGCCAAACTGCGTGCTGGTCATATATACGACAGGACCATGTGACAACTTGTGATATTTTAGGGTTTGTCAACTGTAACCCAAAAATATGTAAAACTCTGAGTAAATGTAATCATTTATTTGTATAACTTGATATTTTTACAATCATTTAAACTTTTAATCAGGCCAGTTTTAAAATCTAAATGATGGAAGAATATTTATTATTCATTTTTAAATTATTATTTTTTTAACCCTAATTTGCTAATGGGGAAATGAGCTTCACTGGACATTTTGTCAAGAAGAATATTTATTATTCATTTTTAAATTATTATTTTTTTAACCCTAATTTGCTAATGGGGAAATGAGCTTCACTGGACATTTCATTCATTCTCAGAATGAAACAACAGTAGTAAACCAAATGATGATGATGGAAATGATTTAGAAATAATGAAGACCAAGAGTTCATGTTAGTTTTACTCAAAAACATGATTCCTCATCGAGTTCAGTTTTGGAGCCATAATTGATGGTGAAAAGTGCTAAAATTCCAGTATTTTAGAAATGCCGGGCCAGCCCAGTGGCATAGTGGTTAAGTTTGTGTGCTGCACTTCAGCAGCCTGGGGTTTGCAGGTTCGGATCCTGGGAGCGGACCTACACATTGCTCATCAAGCCATGCTGTGGCGGTGTCCCACATACAAAATAGAAGAAGACTGGTACAGATGTTAGCTCTGGGACAATCTTCCTCACCAAAAAAATAAATAAATAAAACATATTCAAAAAAAAAAGAAATGCCAAAATCCAGTGTTTTGCAATTATGATCAACAACACTAATGCTAGGCAACACTTCTCCTGGTATACATGTGCAAAGAGTTCCTCCAGGGTATATACCTCCAGGGAGTGGGGTGCTGGGTCATAGGGAATATGCATCTTCAACTTTACTAGATAACGCCAAATTGTCCAAAATGATTGTACCAGTTATATATGCCTACTAACAGTACACGAGTTCCCATGCTCACAATCTCAATAGTTATTATAGATCAATTCTTAATTTTTTGTCAACATGTAAAAGGGTGTTTCATTGTGGTTTTATTTCTCCATTTTAAAAATTAAGGTATAATTTACATACAGTATAATTCACCCTTTTTAGTGTACAGTTCATATTTTCTATCTCCTTTTCCTCTGGACTGAATTCAGGATAACTTCTTCAGATCTTTTTCTTCTAGTTCACTAATTAATTCTATCTTCAGCAAGCTCTAATCTGCTATTAACTCTCTGCTGAGTTTTTAATTTTAGTAATTTTAGTTCTCTTTTGTAGTTTTGTTCTTTTTCAAATCTGCTTTGTCATTGTTACATCTTAGTCTGTACTCATATTTTCAGTTGCTTCATTTGTTCTACATTCTGCACCTAATAATTCCAATTTCTGAAGTCTTTGCAGAATTATGTTGTTTCTGCTTGCTCTTTCTTAAGGTGTCTTGTTTCCTTGTTGATTGTATGATTTTTACGTGGATTTTAATCTCGTAACTTTATATGTGGGAATTCTTTGAGGCCTGGATTAATGATCTGAAGGTTCCCCTAGAGCCATGCTGTCCAATAGTTACGAGTCACATGGGGCTATTTAAACTTTAATTAATTAAAATTATTTAGTTTAAAAATTTAACATTAAATTCAAAATTCTGTTCCTCAATCACACTAGCCAAATTTTAAGTGCTCTATAGCCACATGTGGCTGGAGGCCATTATATTGGACAGCACATGTAGAACATTTCCATCAACTCCAAGTGTTCTCTTGGACAGCTTTGCTCTGAGGTCTTTGCTTTTCCTGCTGCAAGGTATGACTAGGCATTGTCAGCCTGGGAAACCCCTTTAAACTAATTCTTGGTTTGAGGGGATTTTTGAACTATGCAGGTGGTATGAAATTGGGCTGCAAAGATGAGTGAAGCCTAGCTTGAGATTATGAATTCTCAGGGGATATTTTTTTTCACAGTACTGTTGCTGTGGGTCTGAAGAAATCCATGGATAATAGATTCTGTTCCTTTGCTTAGATGATGAAAGTAATGTTGCAATCACCAGACCGGCTTCAGAAAGCCCCTGTGTGCTGAGTGAACCACAGCCTTTGGTCTTACCTCGAGTGCCACAGTCTAAGGTGCTGTCCATCACTTCAAATCTGGTAAGCCCCACAGAGGAATGTACTGGAGAACCTAGGACTGTTTTTGCCACATAAAGTTTGCTCAGAGTTATTTGCCTTAATTGTATTATTTATGACTCAATTTTTTTTCTGTTATGTGTTTATCACAATAATCCAGTGACTCTTTACATTGATAAGTTTAATTTCAGTTTAAAAAATTAATAGCAAATTAAGGTTGATAGGTAATTCGCAGTCAGCACTTTTGAAAAGGCATCCATAAGATGTGCAGACTAGGGCCGGCCCCGTGGCTTAGCGGGTAAGTGCGCGCGCTCCGCTACTGGCGGCCTGGGTTCGGATCCCGGGCGCGCACCGACGCACTGCTTCTCCGGCCATGCTGAGGCCGCATCCCACATACAGCAACTAGAAGGATGTGCAGCTATGACGTACAACTATCTACTTGGGCTTTGGGGAAAAGTAAATAAATAAAATAAAATAAAAAATAAATGTCTTCCCCTTAAAAAAAAAAAAAAAGATGTGCAGACTAGAATCAACTGTGTGGTCAACCTAAGTCTGTTTTGGGAAGAATGAAGGATATAATGAAAGAGGTACCAATCTCAGATTTTTTATGGGCTTAACATTTCTATCCTTTGAGTTTCTCCTTTTCACTCCTTCCTTATTTTTTCTCTTATCTCAGCCTACCTGGTTGATTTGAATCTGTTGATTTTTTTGCCTTTTGGATGTTTAGTATTCATAACCCAACTGTAAACCCAACCCAAAGAGAGGAAAAAATGGTCTCAATTAAGTTTGTAGACAAGCATTAAGATGGGCATTTCTTGCAGGAGGCTGATGAGCCTGGTCTCATCCCTGTGTAATGATTTATGTAGTCCCAGTTCCTACATGATAGTTTCCCAGTGTTACATGTGGCAAAAAAAGTGGGGGTTGGGAGGAGAAAAAGAAAGAGAAGAAGGATTCTAATCCTTGGGCTGTGTTCATCAACCCTGGGTTTTACTACCAGATCTAGTATTTGCTTTGTTGGTATACTAGCCAGATATTGTGCAGCTGGATTTACAAAAGGCTTATTTAAAAATAAAATCAACAATGCCCATACCTTATCACATGGAGGATGAACCAGGTGAACTGATGTTCCTTTGGTGGTAATAAAATACTTCTACATGTTGAACTGGTCTGACTATGGTTTAGGTAGCCTAAGCCCTGAATAGTTAACTTAAATGGTTCTGGTGGTTAACAATCAAAGGAAGGAGAAGTGTTAATCCAAACATTCTTGAGAGAAAGTAGGAGGGAAATGCATGCTGTGGCAGAGGAGGAGATGACCAGAAAGGACACTGAACTGATAACCTGAGAGAAAATAAACAGGATTCTAAGGTGGTGATGTCAGTCCAAGTAAGATTAAATCAGGCTAATGTTAGAACAAATCAGATTTTCTCCTCTAGTAAACAATCTTCAGAATTTAGGTTATCATTGAGAGCTGACTGCTCCAGGGGTTAGTAAAGGAGAAAGGATTTGTTTGTGCAGAGCATAGGATTGTGTGATGGTGAAAGAGATTATGTTAGAGTTTACACTTATTTTTTCTATTTTTTGTTCCATATTTTGTGTTTTCTTTTCTAATGTAATGTAAATAATAATGATAAAAATAAAGGTCCTCTCTCCCCTATGAGAGTGGCTGTTCATTGCTTTCTTCTGGTTTGATCAGGTTTCCCAACTTGCTGTCATTTAGAAATGGAAAGGAAAGGACTCTGACTCTGTCATCTTGACAGTGGACTTCGGGCCCTAGCTGGGCTACTGACCAAGATGTTACAAAAGTTAAAGCATAGGAGAAAAATGTATAAATGACCTAATTGGAAAATATTAACCTTTGGCAAAGTTGGGAAACCAAGCAGATATCTTCACCAACCAATAATGAGTAACATCTTCTTTTGACATGTAGATGAGTCTCTGTCAAGCAGCAAGTGGTCATCAGCCAAATGTGAATGGTCTCTTGGTTCATGGGATGCCTCTACAGCCAAGAAATCTCTCCCTAATGGACAAGCTCCTGTAAGAAGTATAAAATTTTAATAGATATAGAGTTTAAATAGATCACTGAGAAATAAAAGGAAAGCAGTCAGTCAATCAACATGCAGGTACTGAGTACCTACCAAGTAACCACAGAGACATGTGGGGAGTAAAAACATCTAAGGGAAATGGTCTCCACCCACAAGGAGCTGATAATATAATTGGAAGGAGAAGAGACACATGGTTAAAAAGAGACCTAACCATATAGGGCATTTTTGAGTGCCAAGCGTGTGGTACCAAGTGAGTGCTATGGCAGCCCCAAAGAAGGGAGGCATTTTGGTGGGTAAGTGTAGGTTCTGAACTTGTCCTTGACAGATGGGATTTTGGATAAGCAGAGAAGAGCAGCAAGGCTATTCTGGTAGGAGGAATGGTTTGGGAAAGGGTTTGGAGGTGGGAAAATACAAAATATTTAGAAGAGAAAGCAAACCATTTTTGCTATAGTAGGATAGGAAGAGACAGGGCAGAACTTTAATGCTTCTGACCAAAGATCATTGAAAATCTTCTAGAATTAAAATAGACCAGGGTGTAATTAGTGGGAAAGAAGATTCTATGAAATTAATGAAGGTTGTGACCCGACTGTGAGGGTTTTGAATGTCATGTTTTTGAAATCCATCCATATTGCTGCATGTGACCTTCTCTTTTATTGCCAAGTAGTATTCTATTGTAAGAGGACATCACAATTTATCAATTCTTCTGTTAATGAACACTCGGGCTATTTCCAGGTTAGGGCTGTTATGCATGAAGGCACTATAAATCTTCTTGCACAGGTCTTTTTTGTGGACCTATGGTGTCATTTTTCTTGGTTCAATATCTAGAAGTGAAAGTGTCATAGGATAGGTAAGTGTATGTTTAATTTTATAGTAAACTGCCATACAGTTTTTCAAAGTAACTGCACCATTTGACACTCCCACCAGCAATGTGTGAGTTTCAGTTGGGGAGCACATATATTTACATCAGGAATTTGAAGGATTTTATAGCAATAGAACATAGATTGGATGGAGCAGGAGGGACTGAAGGTAAGGAGTCTAATGCAAGAGTTCAAGCATGAGCTGCTAAGGGTCTGTACTCAGGCTGTAGTAAAGGATAAAAAATGAATGAAATATTTTAGGAGATACTGTAAAAGAAATCAAATTCTATAAAAATAGAGGAATCAGAGTCAGCTCTTCCCTTGAGATTTCAAGCTCAAGGGAAGCTTGTTTGGTGGGGAAAGATGAGTTTGGTTTAGGGTGTGTTGAGTTTACAATGACTTGCCATCTCATTGGAAATATGGAAGAGGTCAGATTTGGAGAAGTCACCTGACTAGAGGTGATAAACAAAGCCATAATTATGAATCAGTAGTCCTGAGGACAAAATAAAGATGAGCATACAGCAGCTAAGACCTAAACCTTCTGTAATTAGAGAGCAGGGAATGTAAAGAAAAGGCCTAAGTGAATGGTTAGGGAGGTAGGAAGACCAGAAAGATCTCCTGTGAGTAATGCTCAAGGTTTAGCCCTATTGGTTGATGGGCATTTTCCCTTCAAAGTCCTCCAAACACAGATGCATATTTTGCACTAAAGGACACCCAAGTGGCCTGAAAGGTTGAGGAACTTACCGAAAGCCGAAAGAGCACATGGCAGAGCTTTATTCTTTCACTTTCCCTCCATTTCACTGTGCAAATACTATCTCCTAGGTGCCTTACAATAGAGTCCAATGTCCTCTCATCTGCTTAAAAAAAAAAAAGTGCTGAATCTGTAGGGCAGAGTTTAAGCTACTGTACTGTTTGGGCATGGTATTTTATTTATCAGAGTACTTCCAGAAAAGTGTTGTATTTCACAATTGTTTATGCAAATGGGGATCTACTGTGGTCCTACTGCCCTGGGCAGCACAAGACTCTGGACCCCTTGCCTGCTCCCAGCTTTCCAAGGAACCCAAACCCCTATCCCTGCAGGTTCCAACTAGCTCAGCATTTTAATCTCTGCAGTGGGAGCCACACTGGTGCCACACTGCTCTCAAGCAGCAATATTTGCCTTTTGACTAAGTCTTTCTGGTGACATTTCTTCAGCACAAAAAAATGCCTCAAATACGGTAAGAATCTCAGTCCCTGAGATAAACTTTTGGGAAGCTCTTTTGAGTAGGTACTCTTCAGGTTGGTCTTCACTGGTACTGAAGAAGTGACTGTGATGGCAGGTGATAATGGGCTTGCTTTCCCAAATCTCCATTCTAGTAAATTATGTGTATGATTGAAATAATGTCCTTCTTTTAAGAACACGTTCTCTGAGCCAACCCTAGTAGTCTAGTGGCTAAGATTCAGTGCTCTTACTGCTGCATCCCAGGTTCGTTTCCTGGTCGTGGAGCCACACCACCTGTCTGTCAGTTGTCACACTGTGGTGGCAGCTCACATAAAGAACTAAAAAAAACCCAACAAACAAAACCTAACAACTAGGATATACAACCATGCACTGAAGCTTTGGGGGAAAAAAAGAACACATTCTCATGCCTGAGCTAGATTATGTAACTTCTAGAAACTAGGTTACTTAGTGAACAGTTTTTACTTTTGCTTTTTTCTCCCTTGAATGTATTTCATACTCTTAAGTCTTTTTACCTTTGAGTCCTGTCTCCCTGTACAGAGCAATCTTGATTTCATTGTGGGTTTCTGATTTGGCCACTAGAGATCTTGATGACAAGCTACTAATGAGGCCTGGGTCCAGTACCATCCTTTCAATCCGAAATTGGCCAAATCGAGCCCTGGAGCTTAGTACATCATCTCTGTCATATACAGTGCAGTCTGCCAGGAGACGCATCCCCCCACCACGTACCCTTCATCCCATCAGCACAAGCCATTCACGCGCTGGAACACCAAGACCTGTGGAAGAAATCCTCAGAGGATCCCGAGTGTAGGTTTCAAAAGCAGAATTTCTAGAAACTGTGGTAAAAACTAATGAAGAAGAATTTCACGTAGACAGTAATTTTAAACATAAGATTGAAATATATGCCTAGAAACTAATCATTACATACTCTTATGCTGGTTTGTACACTTGTTTAAATCCAATACAGAAAACAATGGGATTAAATTTGAATGAAATACAGATACTGGATCTGTTGATTTAGCTAAAGATTTATATTTCTACAAATAAAATGTTGGTTAGAATACTTCAGTCGGACTTATCAAAAGAATAAAAGATATATGTATTTTATTAAACATTTTCCTCCAAAAAAAAAGCCTGGTGGCATAGTGGTTAAGTTCACGCGCTGTTTTGGCAGCCTGGGGTTTGCAGGTTCAGATCCTGGGCACGGACCTACACACGCTCATCAAGCCATGCTTTGGCAGTATCCCACATTCAAAATAGAGGAGGATGGGTGTGGATGTTAGCTCAGGGCCAGTCTTCCTCAGCAAAACGAGGATTGGCAACAGACATTAGCTCAGGGCCAATCTTACTCACCAAAAAAAACCCACAAAAAAAAGCAAAACATTTTCCTTAGTGAAACATACTCAGTGAAACTCATCCCAAACTAATAGTTAATTCTCCTTTAATATTTTCCTGTACCATTGGGATCTGCTTATTCCATTGACAATGAAAACTTTACAAACCTCAGATAAGTACTTGCTTATATACCAGGAAAAATGTCCCTTAGCACTTCCTAGGAAATAACACTGAACATATTCTCTTCCCTTTTCCCATCCTTCATTCACTAAACACTCTGAGCCTCATCATGCAAAAAATACCTAGAAGGCAGTATTTTGAATAAAATTCTTTCATTAGTTGTTGATTCACAAAACATTTTAGGATGGTTGATTTCTACAACTATGATCAAGGGTATGAGATAATAAGGCCATTAACTGTGTTTTGAATATAGCTTCTAAATTAAGCACAGGTCGTTATACTTCGCTCCCAACATGTTACTTCTTGACTTTGACTTTTCAGTTTCTTGTTATAGTTTATCCCAATAGACTCACTATAAGAGATGTCTGAAACCACCAAAAATCTTTGTCAGGACACCAAGGTTCTCCTCACCTGCTCACTATTGTATTATATTTTTAAAGCTATATCTATACCAATATAGCTATAGATTCATTCATTTGGGGATAAGTGGCCTTGATGCATAATTAACGTCTCATCCCTTCTGACTACTTTTGTCAAAGTGGAAAAGTAAGTTGCTTTGTTTTGTTGGGGACATGAAAGTATCATTCAGTTTCAATTACTGTCTTGGGTATGAGTAATACTGCAAACTGCTCCAAATTCCGTGGAAGTAAATGAAAGTTTAGGAACTTTACCTGGGAATTATAGTTATTATAATAGTGAAAAGGACAACCGTAGGCACAGAAGTGTGGAGAATTCCATCAGATGTGAAGTTACAAATCCATAATTGGCAGAGAAGTGCAACACCAGATAGGAAAATTGTTTTATTCCAGTTCTCTGTGAGAGAAAGGGTCAACTTCTGCTGCGTACCCAGGATAAAGTTTCAACAAAAATCAGGGTTTGGGGGTTTTCTCATAGTATTTTCTGATTTTTCAAAATCTTTTCATTGAGATCTCTTTACTTAAAAACATAAACAGCTTAAAGCTTTCTGTGCATGACATTAAACTCGTCTGCTTCATTTATTTGATTCTAATCAGTTTTCTTGTGTTGTTATAATTTTATGCTTTCATATCTTGGGTGTTCGCTGGTGGGATGTGTAGCCCAGCGGCAGCTGACTCGCTCTCCTCTCCCTCACCAATGCTTCTGAGTCGAAATAATCTGCTGCCACCTATTGGCACAGCTGAAGTGGAACACTTGAGCACTATGGGGCCACAAACGCAAACGGTACGACTCTTTCCTACTGCCTTTCCATGTGCTTTAAAACCTCTCGGGCAGTAACTCTGTAGGATCTGTATTCTGGTCTTGATTTATACTATATTTTGTTAAAAGTACAAACTGAATTCTAATTTATGACAATGGAATTGGAGCTGCTTGGCCTGCAGTTATCATCCATGCACAGCTCCCACTACAAATCGCTTTAATGTTTCTATAATTTTTATCTTCTCGGCAGAAAACCCACGGCGATTCCAGTCGAGCTCGAAGCGCAGTGGTGGATGAACCTAACCATCAGCAGCCCCAGGAGAGGTTCCTTTTACCTGACTTTTTCTCCAGGCCCAACACAACGCAGTCATTTTTGGTATTGACGTACTTCCTTTATGGTCTTGATAGTTGGGAAAGAAAAAATAAACTACTTCGGTAGACTTAAGACTTTATGTAGTGGGGGCCGCGCCTTGTGGCGCAAGCAGTTAAGTGCGCGCGCTCTGCTGCGGCGGCCCAGGGTTCGCTGGTTCGCATCCGAGGCGTGCACCGACGCACCACTTGGCAAGCCATGCTGTGGCAGCCTCTGGTATAAAGTGGAGGAAGATGGGCACAGATGTTAGCCCAGGGTCAGTCTTCCTCAGCAAAACAAAGAGGAGGATGGGCAGATGTTAGCTCAGGGCTGATCTTCCTCACAAAAAAAACCAAGACTTTATGTAGTGGCTTAATCAACTCTAAGAATAAAAGTTGAGGTTCTAACAAAGATAGTGTTGTAACAAGATTTTATTGAAATTCTAACTAAGTGGTCTCTGCCACTCATTCTTTTAACTTGTAAAAAGAATAAGGTAAAATGCCTTACACATAAATTACAAATTCTAAATAATTTAAAGTTTAGAATATATTTCTGAGAATAAGCAAAAAAAAACTTAAACCCCAGTGCATATTAGATTAGCATAACTTCATTCTCTAACCCTGCTCTTAAAGAGTTACACCAAAAGTGGTGTAAGATTATGATATAGATTGATGGATGGGTGACTTAGGACTTTCATTTTTTTATTGGTATTTGTAATGCTGACATTGCCTTACCATTTAATGTTCATTTACTACCCCTTTTACTTTTAAGCAAGTAATAGAAAAAACCTGGTTGGGAGATTGGAGGTTATGTACTGATCTTGCCCAACTGTAGACCAGGAGCTCAGCCCTACCTTATTTGCTTTGTGGCAAGAAGGCTTGGAGAGCCTGGGGAAGTGGCTGGGGCCATACTTAGTGCCCAGGAACCAGGGCTCCACATCCTATACCAGTTGTCAGGATGGTGGTGTTTGCAGCTCACTTATCCCAACTCATAACGCTTGAACTGTATCAGCCTAAAGCACTGTACGGTCTTTCCTCCACTAGAATGAATGGGACATTTTCTTAGTTTCCTAGGGCTGCTGTAACAAGTTACCACAAAGTGGGTGGCTTAAAACAATAGAAATTTATTTTCTTAGTTCCAGAGCCTAGAAGTCCAAAATCAAGATGTCAGCAGAGCCATGTTCCCTCTGCAGGCTCTAGGGAAGAATCTTTTCTTGCCTCTTCCTAGCTTCTGGTGGTTGCCGGCATTCCTCGGCTCGCAGCTACATCACTCCATTTCTGCATCTGTCTTCACATGGCCTTCTTCCCTGTGTCTCTGTCCAAATTTCCCTCTTATAAAGATACCAGTCGTTGAATTTAGGGCCCACCCTAATCCAGTATGACCTCATCTTAACTTGATTACATCTGCAAAGATCATTTTTCTAAATAAAGTCAACTTCATAGATTCCAGGTGGATATAAATTTTGGGAGGACACTATTCAACCCAATAGACCTCAAGAGGCTTGATTTAGGGGGAGATTTACCCAAAACAAGGGCAAAAGGGAAATGTGAGCAATTCTGATTCTTACTCAGTGTGAACTCTAGAAAGTTTGAGAACCTCTGTCTTCTCAAAATCTGATCCAGGACATTTGTCAAGTAGTGTTGATGATTATATTCTGTAGCTAGATTCTCTCTTATCAAACATTTAATTTTTGATTGCCTTAGGAATAAAACTGAACACATAAAAACATTTCAAAGTTTCTTCTTTTTCAGATGTTTAGAACAATAACAAAAGTAAAAATTTCTTACCTTAGCCATTTCTCTCCCAATTTGCTGTCATGAAAAGGGAGATGAGCTAGTAACTCAATGTAACTAAGAGCACTGGATCCGAGTCCTGGGCCAGGCATTGCCAGACTAACATTCTGTTCCTTGGTGTTCTCATCTAGAATAGGGGTCAGCAAACTATGGTTCATGGGCCATTTGGCTTATTGCCTGTTTATGTAAACAGAGTTTTATCAGAGCAGAGCCACCAACCAGGCTTGTTCACTTATGTACTGTCCATGGCTGCCTTCCCACTACAACAGCAGAGTTGAGTAGTTGCGGCGATGACAGTATGTACCACAAAGCCTAAGATACTTACTGTCTAGCCCTCTACAAAAAAACAAGTTTGCTGAACCCCGATCGAAAACATGGACGAGACCAGATCGAAAAAAAATTCCTGAAATCTCCTGAATCCAGTGCTCTGACAGGGAACTGAGAAGGATGTGTTTTATTCCAGAAGTGCCAGCGGTATGGCATTGATAGCCCTTTTTTTGATATCTGCATTTTAATCTTTTAGTCTTATTTTAAAATCTTTAAATTCCATGAGGTAATTTTGAAATGTCTCAGTTTCATGTTGAGAGTCACATTGCAAGTATGGAGGTAAAGTCAAGGGTGTTTCAATGTTGCTGAAAAGGCTCTGTTCTGTTGTTTTAAACAGTCAGCAGGTAATAGAAATCAGAAAAAATTCCCTTGGCAGCCAATTATAAATATTTAAAAATATTAAACCATCTGGATTATTTATAAATGCTAAGATTTTCTTAAAGGCATATAAGTTGTAGAACTTGCAATTTTTATAAGTTGACAAATGGCTTTGTGGGCCTCTGGCTTGGGATATTTTACGTGGAATATAACAGTGCACTCAGCCAACTCATCCCTCAGATTGGCGGTTGATGCCATTTACACTGTTGTCTGATTTCAAGGTTTTCCCTTGTGTATTATCCTCTGGAAGAAGTCGTGTTGTAAGTGTCTCATCTTTTCTCTTTTTCAGCCAGATACACAGTATCGCCGTTCATGTGCTATTGAGTACCCTCATCAGGCCCAACCTAGCAGGGGATCTGCAGGGACAGGTGGGGCCATGCATCTTATTTTACTACTATGTGGCTATGTTAAGACCCTGCCTTTGTCTTATTTCTAAGCATATTTTCCCTTCCTCTGGATTTTATTATATATTGTTTTCCTACATCTTTGTAAATCACCTCAAATTCATTTTGGAAGATGGGATATAATAAAAAGAGAACTCTAGTGTTCAGAGGCAAAAAGTTCCAGATTTCTGTTTGTTTTCTCATATGTAAATTAACTTCTCACCAATCTGGCAAACAGTACTTTTTTAATCTAAAAAAGTTAAGCCAAATAAGTCATTTTCATAACATTCAAACACTGCATGGATTTTATTATGTAGGCAAAATCCATATAGCTATGGATTAAACTGCTTTGGTCAGTTAACCTGCTAGGCCAAGGGAAAAAAAAAATTCTAAAATGTCAAGATAATGCTGAGTCTGATTCTATCCCATTAATTTTTTTTTTATTTCTAAGTTATATTCTATAGATCTATGTTCATAGGAGTGATGGGAGCAAATTTAAGGACGTCTAAATTCTTCCTATAATTGTCTTCTCACCACCATCAGGGTCATTCTCATTAGGCTGTAGGTGAAATTTAGAAGTACTGGGCAGTCGAAATGTTTCCCATTAATAATGAGATTAATCAGCAAGTACATTAAAAAGTAATCTGCCTCAAACCATCTTAGTCCAAATGAATTCTCTTAGTTCAGCTCCTAGTTAAGCACTGTCTTTGCATGCTTTCAATGGATTCTATTCTTGGATCAGTCCTCATAGAGAAGCAATGCTGCCTCTGAGCTACGTTATTACATTCGGCCATGTTGATGGTCATGTGTAACTAGTGTAACATTTAGGTAAGTGAAACAGATTATTTTCGTCTTCTTTAATTAGCGGTTCCTCTCTAAAACTAAGTTACTGCTTTCCTATCTTAATATAGACTCTCTTGTTGTTTTTACATGATAAAAATATGCAAACATGGTTTTTATTGCCTTGGTAAATATATACTATATAGTCCCAGTCTCCAAATTTAAAGTCAAACTGATAATTGGCGCAAAAAAGCCCTTAGATATGAACTTGAGATTACCAAATCTAGAATGTCTACTAATGTTACCCTGTGATGTCATCTTTGTCTGACAGGTCCTCAGTTACATGGGTCTACAAAATCGCAAAACAGAGGTGGACCAGTCTCTAGGACCAGGCAGGGACCATAGGGCAAATGACAAGAAGCTGTTTCAGCCTGCAGGGAACACATGGGAAGATTTCATGAACCAGTGTTCAGTCATCCCTGATGCAGAACGTGTACACGAGACAACTTGAAACCATCTTCATGAAGAGTTCTTTTGGTACAACTGACTGAGCAAAAAAGACAGTATCCACCGAAGATCACACGGGTACTGTTTCGATCTCCCGTTACTGTCTCCTTTCAGCATAAGTTAACCTCTTCCACTGGACAGTAAAGCTTGTACCCAAAGATGTAACAAATGAATTAGTACCCCCAGATAACTGCTCATGTTGTCTGTTAACAATGATCAGTTCAATTATTATAGGATTCTATGAGACTATACATACACAAACAGCAGCAAATGATTGTTTGATAACATTAAGTTATCACTGGGGCTTTGGAATACTTCTGCTTGTACTGATTTCTGGATTGTTGTACTCTCAGTTTTAAGGAGACAGTGCTGTCAAAAAGCTGAGCTATTCATCAAACAGATGTCATTCCTAAAGCTTTCTCTTGAGATGTTCAATGCCATAGGCAGATAGAGATGGAAAGGGTAACTAAAGACATAAATGTTGAGCACTGGTGTAAAGTAACTTATGTAATAAATCATACTGCATATTTTTTTCAGATAGGACAGCTCAACCTCACAGTGCCTGCTTGATATCAGGTCATGCTTCTTTTCTTCTTAAAGTACTTTAGTGGTCATTTTTTTTTTCTTTCAAAATATTAACCTCACTTTGCCAGATTTTCTCCGATAGCTCTAAGAAAGTCAATTAAAAAATATATAGACTTCCTACTAGTGAGTCAGCAAAATGCAATTCCTTTCAATTTCAGCAACTTTGGCAATTAGTCCAGTATAAACATATCCTGAGAGCAGAAGTAGAGAACTTTGGCATTCTTCTGATTTTACCATGGACCTTTTCCTGAGCACACTCATGAATGCAGCAATGGTTTTAACTATGGCTTAAATTTATTTTATTTCAATTTCCTTGAACTTTAATTTTGATGATTATACCGGTTTTAGATTTTAGTGTTAATTTTCAGAGTAGATAAATTCAAATGATCATAAATTGGGGCAATTTTTTTATTATATCATAGTGTTCTAATGGTATCATATGAAAACAGATGCTTCAAACAATCTGCATTAAATGATATTTTTAATACAATTAAAGAGAGTATTTTTTAACCTGTTTGTAATCACAAACAAAAAACGTGCCATGTACTTACCTTAGATAAATTATGATACATAAAACTCAGTAACAGAAAGCTTGTTTTATGCATATGGTATTAAATATATTAGCCTACAAATCAGAGATTTTAAGTTGAACAATCCCTTAAAAATTTGCTTATATTCTAATGAATACATACCAATTCAACTAAGTATAAGTGAAAATCTCGGTACTAGTCTCACAGATCAATACTGTGAGTGCATGATAACAAACCATTGGATCAAATGGCTTGCCTTTCAAAGTTCGAGTTAAGAGTCAGAAGGGGCCTCTAAGAAGACATTTAGCCCAAGTCCCTCACCCTTTTATAAACAAATTCAGACAAGCTAGTGACCTGCCTAAGGACGTTCAGTAGTTACACGCAGGACTACAACATCTCTTTATGCTACTTAAACCAGGCTGTCTACTATAACGCCGACTAGGACTACTTTTCTTCTCTCTCCTCTTCCTAAACACCATTCGTACTTTTTCTAGATCATATTTTAAATGATCACTGGGATCATTTAAAAAGAACTTAAGTCATTTTTTACTTGTTTATTGAATCATGTGTAAATCTTACAAAGATGCTGTAAGTAACCTGACCACCTGTTTCTTCTATACTGTAAGCCAAGAGTACAAAATCTGGTTGAGTGAAACAAAGAGAAAGGGTCTACTCAAGAATATTAAAGCAAACCAAAAGCAAACTGGCAAGTATTTGGAAGATAGATGTCTAGCAAGTGTTTTGAAGGCATTCCAGCTAGTAGAGTACCTGTTCTAATAAACACGCACATCACTCCGAATACTCTGCAGCTCACTTCTGTGCAGCAAAATGACAACTGCTAAAGGCAGTGTAGACAGACTCGCATTCTAGACAGAGTTCCTTGTACAGAAGATCCATAGAAGCAAATGCTGTCAGAAAGTAAACCACCCTCCCCCTGTTCCCTCAACCATCACCACCAAAGTCCTTCATATAAGGACCTCACAGAACGTCAGGGGGTTTCTAGGATCCACTAAGATCAGATTGAGAGATTTTGCTTGGTTTACATAGTCGATCTGAATAATTTAGGCGGGAAAGACAACTTTTCTCAAGGGTTGGGTTGACTTTTGTCTTCAAATCTTGACTCTACCTTGCCTACAATGGCACCAATTAACACCTCAGGATGTCTGAAGAGAAAATTCCATTATTTCTTTTCTTTCTTGAGAGCAGCTTTTTTCCCTCCTCCTTTGGAAGGTTTGCAGTACTTTGCTTCCATCTGAGCCAGAAAACTGTCCATTTCCTTTTGCCGATCCTTTTGTCTGCTCTGTTTGAGAAGTTAAAACACACGCTTTCAAAACACAAGACTATCCATAGAGACAAAAGTACTTAGTGGTTGCCAGGGGCTAGTGGGAAAGGAGAATGGGGAGTGAATGCTAATGGGTAAGGAGTTTCTTTTTAGGGTGATAAGAATGTTCTGGAATTAGATAGTCCTGATGGTTATACAACTTGATGAATATACTAAAAACCACTGAATTGTTCACTTTAAAAGGATGAATATATGGTATGTGAATTCTGTTTTAGAGAAAGAAAACAAACTACCCACAACACTATATATACACTCCAAACAAAATCTTAGCAGTAGGAATCAGAAGATGAAAGAAGTGGCGGCAACCTTCACAGACAACCTGCCAAGTTTACCTGAATGACTGCTTTCAAGTTATCTACTCCTTCATCAAGCCCCAACTCCTTCCTGCTCTTTTCTGCTTCTTTAGCCTCCTCCTGAGCCTAAAACAGAAACTCAAGTAAGACTCCATGGCAACCTAACAGATGCTAAAAATACACCCTCTTTCCCAAAAGCAAATCTGTACAGACCTTTTCAATTTGAGGATTATATCGATAAAAAAGATAAAATTACATAAATACGTCATTCATTAAAAGGCAACACTGCTGACAGTGTGGGAGATCAAGATTTGGCCACCCTGAAATCTATCTCTTTACCTTGGTTGTTTT